TGTATTTATAAGCGAATATATGCAAGTAGTAAGCGAGAAAGGATATTTTGTTGTGGGATCTGTTAATGTGTGCGCGCATGCGTATGCCCATATGTGGGAGTAAGTTAAAAAAGAAAAACAAAATTGCTACGAACTTTTTGTTTCTTTTTCTTCGACCTTTTTTTTTCACTGGGACTGGAGCTATTAAATAATTATACCAAATGAAGAAGCCTTTTTTTTTCACACGACATCGCTTTATTCTTCGGTATGTTAGGTTTATTCTCGTTAACTTTATTTCAACTGCTACACGGTTTGGGCTGGCATCTAATAAAAAATGCAAACGTCCACGTATGCATATAGCATAACAAAGAAAACAATCCTGACTGTAAATTGCTTTAACCATGCATAAAAATGTGTTCAAAATATAATCTCTGACGCTGTTTGATTTCCTCTCTAAAAAGTATTTGAATTTCTTAATTTAAAAAAAAATATATATTCTATTTTTTGTCTATATAAAACAGAAAAATACTTTTAACCGAGCTTTTTATTTCTATCCATTTTTTTCTTATTTTATAACAAGGCTTCCATATTTTCTTTCTTTTTTTTTTTTTTTCCATATTCAAACTTCACGTCAAGATATTTTATTGACATTTGCAAAGCTTACCTTAATCTTAAGGCCCTAAGATTAGATCGAGCTCCCTAACATTAGTATTGATCACGTATTCCACAATGATGCACCCAAAAGTTCAGATCCATCGCCAGGGTGTTTTGAGTTGGTGGGGGCAGGGCCCACACTAAGGTTTTACACACTTAAATTATTTTACGTCATTTTCAGGGAGAAGGGGATGGGCAGTAAATGACTTTCCAGGAGTTGGAGCAGCCATCCTCACTTGGCGACGATCCTGCAATAATTATTTACTCTACACTAAATGCAAGCATGGCTCCGTAAAATAAAAAGTCGGGGTTGAAGGTGGGGTGGCTGAGTCAGAAGTTAAGTTTTAATTATTTCCGATTCTGTATTTCTTCATCCGATCCTCTCATGAAAAGAACATTTCTAGATCAGTAATTCCCAAAGTGGGTGGTACCGCCCCTCTCCCCAGGGTGGTGGAAAAGTCCAGGGGAGGGAACACGAGAAAAAAAAAAGCAGGCAGCAAGGGGGGACAAGCAGTTGCACATTTGAGCCATAACATACACCATACGTTGTAGCTGAAGTGTATCTTTCCTTTACTATACCATGTAAACCTATTTATATAACTATTTTTATGGGAAATACTAAAATATTCATTTTACTTGCAGTACTAGCACCAAGAAAGTCCACTCAATGGTTCGCTATACATTTGAAGGGGGTAGAGTTCCGTTTTAGTACGCAAGGGGCGCTACCCCCACCCCCAAAAGTTTGAGAACAACTATTTTAGATTTATTATCCTCCTGTAAATATTTATTTTTGTTTTGAATTTAAGTACGCTTTTTTAGCTGTTCATTTGTCATTGTTTTCTGGCATGAGAATTATAACCTTTTTATACAGCAAGTTTCATCCTGTACAAGGCCCGGGAGCCACTGGAGGTAGAGAGTTGCGTTAAGGGGTAGATACCGGTTGACTCTAGACTTGAACAGGTTAAGATTGGAGTCTGTTCCATAGGGAAGAGGTTCGCTGGAAGAAGCTGTTTGAGTGGAACTTACTTCTCACCAAAGGAATACGGGGGGAATATGGGTGGTTTGCTACTATGTAAGCGACATGGCCGGTCCTGGCCGTAAAGGTTAAAACTGGCAGAACCAAGGAATGTAATTCGTTCGAGCACCTCCTAATGGAAGTAGCTATAGAGCAATGACAGACTCGCCACACCCAGTCCGTGCGAGAGATTAGAGGGTGAAGAATAATTCTTCTCCAACAAGGACTCGGAGACGCTTTTAAACTTTATCAAGAATGGAAAAGGATCTGGGGTATAAGACTTATGTAGAAGTTTCTGCTTAGAAAACATATATAGAGAAGTTTCTGCATATAAAACTTATGTAGAAGTTTCTGCATATAAAACTTATATAGAAGTTTTAGAAGCTAATGTTCCAAAAATAATAAATAAAAAAGGAAGATTAATGGCTGTAATGATTTTAGACAAATGATACAGCTATAGATTGAGTACAAAAAGACAAATTTATCTTGTTTAGCTTTTCGTTAGCAGAAAAGTAAATTTCCTGAAGCCATCTCTCTAGCACTGTAATAGTTATTCCATAAGATTAAGACCACAGTAATGAAGGAAGCCAAAAAGGCTGAAACTTACGACGTTTGCTAGTTAGCTTGCAAAACGCGCTTGCTGTCCTCTGCGCTATGATTTCAGCCCATTTCACACATAGTATATACGTGCCTATATTAAGGGAGGTATTGCATAGATATATTGGCAACCATGGATGTTCGTGTTCCACAAAAAACGGAGTTTCAAAAGGGTGTTTTCCCATGACATCGATTTTTTTTAACTATTCCTCGGCAATTTGTATTGTTTTAAAAAGCGATGATTAGAATTGTAATAAAAATTAAACATATGATGAAAGTGAATTTATAAATATATTTGGTTCTTTATTTTAGGATCTTACATAGAAAACATGTCAAAATCCAAAGTTCCGCTAAACAATTGCAGTCGTGTTTCGATACGCATACAACGCATTTCATCAGGCAAATAGCTGTGTGATTTGCTATCGCCTGATGAGATGCGTTGCATACGCATCGAAACACGACTGCAATTGTTTAGCGGAACTTTGGATTTTGACATGTTTTCTATGTAAGATCCTAAAATAAAGAATATTGCTCAACTTAATACTGAGCCTTCTTTTAAATTAAATGTTACGAACGTTAGAAGTGTATTCTATTCGTTCTCATCTTACCTGGATATTTTTGTTGTGGAAAATTTACAACAAAAATATTAAACACTACTTGTTTATTAGACTATTTATTTACAAGAATAATTTTATATTTATAACATTCTAAAAACTAATGCAAGTGTATTAAGATTAATGCAATGCGATATTTGTCAGTTACCAATTTAAAAAGAAATAAATATGAAAACATTTTTTATTCGTAAATTTATAAACATTTACTAAATTATTAAAATATGTGAAGCAACTATAAGTAAAACCTTATTATTTAGTAGTTTATAAAGATCGAATCAATTGGGAATTATACGACGTTTTGCCATCCATTCTAATAAACAATATAATAGATAGATAATATAAATAAAAATATAATAAATAGATAATATAAATAAAAATATAATATATAGATAATATAAATAAAAATATAATAAATAGATAATATAAATAAAATATATAATAAATAGTAACATAAATAAAAAAAATATAATACATAATATAAATAAAAAATAATATAAATACATAGATAATATAAGTAAAAAATATAATAAATAGATAATATAAATAAAAATATAATAGATAATATAAATAAAAATATAATAAACAGATAATATAAATAAAATATATAATAGATAATATAAATAAAAATATAATAAACAGATAATATAAATAAAATATATAATAGATAATATAAATAAAATATATAATAGATAATATAAATAAAAAATATAATAAACAGATAATATAAATAAAAAAATATAATAGATAATATAAATAAAAAATATAATAAACAGATAATATAAATAAAATATATAATAGATAATATAAATAAAAAATATAATAAAGAGATAATATAAATAAAATATATAATAGATAATATAAATAAAAAATATAATAGATAATATAAATAAAAAATATAATAGATAATATAAATAAAAAATATAATAGATAATATAAATAAAAAATATAATAAAGAGATAATATAAATAAAAATATAAGAAATAGTAATATAAATAAAAATATAATAGATATACAATATAAATAAAAAATATAATAGATAGATAATATAAATAAAAAATAATATAAATACATAGATAATATAAGTAAAAAATATAATAAATAGATAATATAAATAAAATAGATAATAGATAATATAAATAAAAAATATAATAAATAGATAATATAAATAAAAATATATAATAGATAATATAAATAAAAAATATAATAAAGAGATAATATAAATAAAAAATATAATAAATAGTAATATAAATAAAAAATATAATAGATAGACAATATGAATAAAAAATATAATAGATAATATAAATAAAAATAATATAAATACATAGATAATATAAGTAAAAATATAATAAACAGATAACATAAATAAAAAATATGATAGATAATATAAATAAAAAAATAATAATAAGATAATATAAATAAAAAATATAATAAATAAATAATATAAATAAAAAATATAATAGATAATATAAATAAAACATATAACAAATAGATAATATAAATACAAATATAATAAATAGATAATATAAATAAAAAATATAATAAATAAATAAATAGTGTTTGTTAATTTTACTGTCAATGTTCGAGAACAAAGGAAATGTAAAAATTCACTTTCATCATATGTTTAGGTCTTATAAGTCTAATTATCGCTTTTTAAAACAATAATCATTGCCGGAAAGTAGTTAAAATAAAGTCGGTGTCAAAGGGAAAAAAGAAAGTCCTTTTCACACTCCATTTTTTTGCGAGCACGAAAATTCATGTTTGCCTATACATTAATATTCATATTTTCCTCTTCAGTTGAGCTTGGCACAAAGCTACAACAGAATTCACGACACTAAAGAACAAGACTACCATACTTACTCTTATCTACCTCGTACAAAGGGAACAGGCTTAATTGGTGTCGGAATTTTTCCCAATACGCGGGGAAAATTAATAAGAGTGGGGATCAGAATATTATTTAAAAGATCAAAAAGTGCGAAATCAATAAACGTAGTCGTCCTAATAAGTTTGTTGTTTCGGAAAATTTCTTCAAAAATAATAAACGTTCCCCCACCTTACTGAGAGTAGGTGATTTTCAACCATCGTAAGCGCTCACTTAATAGATATATCTCACTAGCTGTGAATAGTCGAGAGGATTTATTCATGCTGTGTATTCTATAATCAGCATATATATTTACTTATCTGAACTGTATATGAATCTCTCTTACGATCACCAACAGTTAAGCAACATCGAACCTGGTCAGTACCTAGATGAGTGACCGCTTGGAAATACCAAGTGCTGTAAGCCTGGACGTGCGTGTGGTGTAATGGATAAAGGCTCGATTTTTTTTTTTTTTTTTCAGAGAGCCGGGTTCCAATTCCCGGTGGGTTCGTTAGATTCACTTACAGAAAAGTATAAATCTACCTCCTCCCCTCCCCCAGCTCTAGGTAAATTAGTAACATTTGTATCACTAAAATTTTTATTATCTGCAAAAAAAATTTTTACCATCTAAAAATATTTTCTGGCTTTAAATAACCTGTAAAGGGTTGATAAACCGTAAACAAGGAATCAATGAATCTGGTAAGCGACTCTTCAGCTAAAGAGTCCCATGGTTTTGTCTCGACACCGGACTGAAATTACGGTTGAAATACGAGACTGCTTCTAACAGCCTAAATAAATGCAGGGGTTAATGGCATTTTCTCCACGATTCCAAATGCTAAAACCGTTCTCAGATACGACAAACCGTGCGCAATATCTTTCTATAAATAGTCAGACAAAGAAGCAAAATTGAATGTGTAAAGTTGTATACATATGGTCTAGGCACGAGCATTCTTGAATGAAAACTTTTTTCCCTCGTTCCACTGGATTAAGTCGAAAGAAATTAAAGATGGCGTAATTAACATTAGCCCACATTTACAACTTGTTGCGATTAGCAGCATACAGTTACCATTTTACAAATGGCTTGTATATATGACGGACGTTTTTTGGTATTGATTGCATATCACATATATGCTCGCACTCTCTCTCTCTCTCTCTCTCTCTCTCTCTCTCTCTCTCTCTCTCTCTAGTAGTAGTAGTAATAGTAGTAGTAGTTTTACCACCAGCACTCATTGGGCCATATTTTATACTCATATATATATATATATATATATATAGGAAGTGTCGGTTTGTAAACGGTGACTATTACAGCTAATAATGCAAGACTCTTCGGTAAATCGAATTGAGTTCTCTCAGCCAGTGTGTGTATATCTAAAAAATACGCTTAAATTCCTCTTCATCCCTGCCATGCGCCAACGGCTTAGTGGTCGAATCCCGACTGACGCTAATTCAGTCGGGTTTCGATCTTAGCTAGAGGCAACCAGATGTCTAGCCACATTGATGAACTGTGAAACAGTCTGTCGGTGGAGGACAATGTATATATATTTATATATATTCACCTTCTTCAGAAACAATTATTCACCCCTGTAGTTCACTGCTACTAACAAAAAAGATTTTTTTCCTGATGATGGCCATGCTAGCTGGAAATAGTCGAGAACCTCATTTAAAAAATCATATACATACATATACACACACACACACACACACACACACACACACACATATATATATATATATATATATATATATATATATATATATATATATAGGAAAAATCGGACACCATAGGGAAAATTTATTAAAAGTACAATTACACATGACAATTTTATATACTAGTTATTTAATTGTTATATGTTCTGTTCAAAATGTCCTCTTTCTTTTTCAAAACACATTTCAATTCTGTATTTGCATGATTTATTAAGAGTTTCTTTCCTCATTTTACTGCATTCATATTTAATTCTTTTTTTTTAAGTTACTCAATATTTCTTGTCCGCGTCTGATAACTTGATTTCAAATGGCCCCAAGGAAAAAAATTCAATGGTGTGAGGTCTGGTGATCTCAGTGGCCACTTAACAGATCCTGTTCGACTATCTATCTATCGGTTTTAAGCTAGTATATATATATATATATATATATATATATATATATACACACACATACAGAGTGAGACAAAAGTCGCGTACCATAGGGATAATTTACTAAAAGTATAATTACACATGACAATTTTATTTACTAGTTATTTAATTGTTATACGTGCTGTTCAAAACGTCTTCCTTCTTTTTCAAAACACATTTCAATTCCGTGCTTGCATACTTAATACGTCGGGAATTTCTTCCCTCATTTTACTGCATTCATATTTAATTCTTTCTTTAAATCCCTAAATATTTCTGGGCTTCGTCTAATAAACAACTGATTTCAAATTGCCCCTCAGAAAAAAAATTCCAAGGGTGTGTGGTCTGGTAACCTCGGTAGCCAATCAACAGGCGCTATCAAAATAAATTAGACATTTAAAACATGATTAATTAATTAGCCCCTATGGTGCGTGACTTTTATATATATATATATATATATATATATATATATATATATATATATATATATATATATATATATATAACGTTTGTTTTAAGGTATGGTTTATTTATGGGTAAAAGAGGCCAATATCCGGGATAGAGCGTGTGTAAATATAAGATAGGTCAACATTGAGTTACGGCAGTCTGGATGGCCTAGGAATTGCGTTCAGGCTTAAACAGACTGTCGTCACTCGTTGTTGTTCTCAGTGTCTATACTTATATATATATATATATATATATATATATATATATATATATATATATATATATATATATATATGCAGGGTGTCCCAAAATTTCGACCTATTTTTATTTTATTATATTATTGCAGTTTTCAATATAAAAACCGGGCAGATTTTTTGGACACCCTGTGTATTAAATGCCATTTTTTTTTTCAGGACAGGAGAGTCATTTTCTTTATGAATTATCTCGCTATGATTTCTTTGGAAAAAGTGGAGTGGTTTCGCGTTGCCTTCTGCACAGATTTGAATTCAAAGTGTCTATTTTCGGGCTTACTATTTAACCCATAGCTGGTACGCTGAATAGATGGATTCATACTTCCCAAAGTCATTTATGCGAAAGTGAATGTAACTGACTAGAATTTGAACTCGACTGTCGGATTCCACTTTCCACCCTGAAACATTACACCCTTATCTCATATATATATATATATATATATATAATCCCTATATATATAATAAATTATAAAAACTTAATTTTAGGTTCCTAAAATTTATTTCCCCGGGTTTTTCTTGGAAATTTGATTATTCCTAGGGAAATAAATTATAACCTTATGGAACCTAAAATTGTCTTTTTGAGTTTTAAATTAAAATATTCATCTGATTTAACATTGAGCTCTCTGAATTTCATCCTCCTTACGGATTACCCAACGGATTACCAAGATTTTCATTACTCAACTATATATATATATATATATATATATAGGCTCCATAGGACTTTCGTTGTTTCATGTCATGAATACTGAAGTCATAAAGTTTGTAAGAGGAAGTGAAGAAGTAACGAAGATTAAAAAGTGAAATAATAAAGAAGGGCCTATGAAAACATTCTGTATTATTTTAAAGGGGTCCACAGTCTTTTCTATTCCTATAATCTCAGAGCAAACAAGTGTATGACATCTGTGGAGAAAAAGCAGAGGATGCCAGATAATACCAGATATGACTGATTTATTAACTGCCTTCGGGTCGCACCCTCCAGATTTTTCAGGCTGGTTCGAATTCAGAGTTTTCCTGCTCCTAGTCCGATTGCCACCCAAGGCTATAGAACCCAGTCCGGTCTTGCTATTTACCCATGGAGAAGAGATGGATTCATACAAGGGTGTTGGCACGTAAGTGAATGCAATGAATTTCACTGAAATTCGAACTCAGCTCTCAACGCAAATTCATTTCTCCACCGTGCCTCCTTTGTAATTATAGTCGCTCTGTTGTGTTCACTTTCGCACAGATGCCCTTACGAAAGGCGTGATACCATCTCTTCTAACCTCCCCTCCGCCACAAATTGCTAAATGTAGACTAGACTCTCAAGCCTTGGCAGGCAATCAGTCTAAGATAAGGCAGCCAGGCGATGAATTCCAAATCGTGAAGATGTCAACGGGAAACCACTCGACTATTTTTCCAACGAATGCATGGCAGTTCACACATTATGAAGAAAAGGAAGCTGTGGAGAATCATGATCGCATCCGTCCTGAAGAGACATGACATTTAAAAAGAAATGATTATACAGAACGATATGGAGAAGTAAAAGATGTGATATTAATTAAAAGATGTGATATTAAAAGATGTGATATTAAAAGATGTGATATTAAAAGATGTAGTTGTAATGTAAAGTGTAAAAAAGAAAGAGCTAAAACGTGGCCGTCTGTAGGCGTATGTATTTATGTATTACTCACCTATAATTTTGTTTATATTTGTTTTTCTTCTATGCTTTCCAGTTTTAAACTTTCATTTATATCATCGAAACAAAAAAAAACAAAAGCAAAAGAAAAGAAGCCTCACATAAAATGATCACAGTCATTACAGGTCAGAACTGCTCACCGCATAAAATAAAGGAACTATAAATAATCTAGCTTTAAAAGTAATCGCTGTCGTCGGAGTTGAAATCGTAGTAAAACCACACTTTTCTTTGTTTCTTTCTTCCTTCTATTTCTTTCTTCTTCTTTCTTTCTTTTTTTTTTAGGATGGGGCAACGTCTTAAAGTTTATATGAGAATATGTGCATTAGTTTTATTAGTTGTAGCGATAATTAAAAGCTGAAGTGAAGGAAAACAAAAAACAAAACAAGCAAAAAGTAAACGCAGTCACTTTTCTCCAGTTGGTAACTTTTTCTTCTGTCATCATGTATGAAACCCGGGAATCAGAAATAAAAGACAAAAACAAATTCTGCCTACACAGTTGTAGCACTATAAAAACGGCTTACTACTACTACTGCTGCTACTACAGCGAACATCGTAAGGTTTGTTTGTCTGTTCGAGGGCTGTAAATGATTTATACAGCCTACTTTACTAAAAAGACCGTCTTTAAGCTAATGACTGCTTACCGACAGAATAAACTTTGTTACTATATGCACACACACATATGTGTGTATATATATATACTGGTGTCTGGGGTGGGGTGGAGTCAGGGATTTGTGCCTGTTTAGTGTTTGCTCTAAATGCCTAGTGGCAAATATGGCCGCACGTATATCGTATACTTCTACGC